CCAGAAGCAAAGGTCAACCGCCATAAACAACACGACCTATCCAATGTGTTTCTGCTAAGAACAAGACATTTAATTCCTTCAGCTATTCGGTTCTTTGTCCGTTACATGATCACTCTACTGCAAAAAAGAAACACGCTACTTATCCGTCCGCGGCTGCAACAGTAAAGCTATTACGAGAGTGGTCTAAGAATCTTCCGACCCAACAAAGGTAGAAGATATTTTCCCTGTTTTTTTTTTGTGCATAGTCTCCTTGTCACTTCTCCTAGCGATGCTCTCATCCCTGAAACTAGTACTCGTCGTTTTTCTCCGCAAAATATTTGTTCACAAAGGTAATTGCCTGTTCATTTGACGAAAATCTCTGTCCTCCGAGCGCAATTTTTAAATGAGGGAACAAAAAGAAGTCACTTGGGGCTAGATCTAGTGAGTAAGGCCGATGGTCAATCAATTCAAAACGTAATTCGTGGATTTTGCCATAGCAACCGCTGAGATGTGAGACGATGCGTTGTTCTGGTGAAACAGGATTTTCTGTTTCTGCAAATGTGACCATTTTTTGCTCATGTAATGGTGTTTCTTTCTTGAAGATAATCAATTAAAATAATACCATGTCTATCCCAAAAAACAGTCGCCATCACTTTCTCAGCCGTAAAAACAGTTTTTGCTTTTTTGTAGCCGGTTCCTCCTTTGCAGTCCAGTATTTGGACGGTATTTTTGTTTCGGGCGTGTAATGGTGTAACCAAGTTTCATCTACAGTAACTAATCGGCGTCAAAACTTGAATTTATTGCGCCTACGCTGCGCCAACACAGCATCGGAAATGTTCTTTCGAACACGTTTTTGATCTAACTTGAGCAGACGCGGCACCCGACGCGCAGACAGCTTTCTCATGCCTAAATGTTAATTTAATATGTGACAAACACCTTCTTTTGACATATTCATAACCTCTGCTATCTCTCTCACTTTAGTTCGGTGGTCGTCAAGAAGGATTTGGTGAACTGTGGCGATGTTTTCGTCGGAAGTTGCAGTTTTTGGACGTCCCGAACGTTCATCGTCTCCCAAGCTCTTGAGGCCACGTTTAAATTCAGCTGTCCAAAATTTCACTGTGGTAAACTCGTCTTTGATTTGCGTAGGCGTATTGCCTTTCAAAAATAAATATTTAATGACAGCTCGATACTCAATTTTGTCCATTTTCACAAAAACACTCACATCAACTCACTCAAACGACTGTTACATAACAACTGCTCGTCCAGAATGGCTGAAATTTTGGTGAGTAACTGTCAACAGATGGACAACGAAATTCACTAGCTTTTATACTAAGTGACATATAAATCCGAACACCCAGTTTAAATGGTTTTATTTTAATAAAAGTTGGTGAATGTATTTATCTAACTGTAAATAACAAGTGAAAAAATTTTCAGCCTTATCAGTTTGACATTCCGGTTTTTATACTGCTTTTTTTTAATTCACTAACGCTCTAAAAATGAATATTTCAGCCGCAGTAAAGAATCAACGTTGGCGGATTTTGGTTCTTGACATCCTTTACGATCGGTTACGATGCCTAGAGTACGGAGACCTGTACGATTTCGTCAACTTAGTGAGTTTGATAAGGGCCGTATAGTGGGACTTCGGGAAGCTGGACTTTCTTTTCGGGCAATTGCAGTTAGAGTGCAAAGAAGTGTCACTGTGGTTAGGTGTTGTCAGGCATGGGTTCGAGAAGGCCGTACGCAAAGAGCAAGGGGCACTGGACGCCGCCGTAGAACAACAGACCGTGAAGATCGCCGCCTAAGACTATTGGCCTTAAGGGACCATTTCTCCACTACCAGGTCCTTTGCAAATGAATGGTTTGCAGAACACGGAAGATCTATTGGCATGCGAAATGTTTACCGACGAATGAGAAGTTTTGGCTTGTTTTCATACCGGCCACGACAACATAATGATGTCACATCCTTACCATGGCCACCAAGATCTCCCGACTTATCCCCAATTGAGCACGTGTGGGATATGATGGGTAGGAGATTGCTCAATTTGCAACGTCCTCCTCAGACTCTAGAAGCACTTCGAGACGAGTTGGTGGTTGCCTGGAATGAGATACCACAGGAGGACATTGACCACCTGATCAGAAGCATGCCTAGGCGCGTTGGAGAATGCGTAGCACATCAGGGTGCATCCACACATTATTAAAGGTCAAAGGGCTTTAAAGCAGTTCAATCATTTTGAAATTTTTATCATTTACTTATTATGCTTCATTAAGTACTTGTACAAAATTTTATCAAAATAAAACCATTTAAACTGGGTGTTCGGATTTATATGTCACTTAGTATATTTACGAGTGTTGCCATCTTCATGTTGAGGTCAGAAACTAATCAGACCACCCTCGTAATATAGGTTTCATTCTTTAGAACACAGACAGCCACGGATGGCTGTTTCGTGCTATTTAGCAACTACTCAGCATGGTGTAGGCTTGGTTTTGGTGGACAACCTATGAAAGGTAGGCAACTCTATTCAGAGTGCAAGGTTTATCAAAATAGTACAGCACAACGTGCCATCTACTACCAGAATCGACCACTGCGAAAGTGAAAACAGCAAGCTGTCTGTTGGAAGGGTGTCTCAGTTCGCATTGTCTGACGGGTCACCACTGTGGCCGTTACATGCCGTCGATGCTGGTGCTATACTAGATACGGTCTACTCGCCATTGAACAAACTAGTTTCTGGTAATAGATGGCATGCTGTCTTATTTCAGTAAAGCTATTGTCACACAGATATGAAATGACATAAAAAGAAGAGTCAAGCTAAAATAACATCAACATTAACATCAATCTAAATAATTTTAACCCTTGTCTTCTGGGATGACCACCAATTCGGAGTCCATTTACTTGGCTCCCGATGATATTTTGACGTTACGACGATAATTACTGGTTGCCTATGACTTGAGCTTTTTATCAACAATGAAAGTATTGAGCATAAGAAAAAGTTTCAAAAATCACAAAAAACCTTCGTTTTTGGTATATTCCTCTAAAGAGCATATCCTGCAGGATAACAACCATATATACATATAAAGCACGTTACAATGAGTATCACATAGCTTGGTGTTACCTAGTAAGGATATTTTAATTAATAGTGTTTCCGGTCCAAATGCTGTGTGATTTGGAAAATCGAGGGTCAAATATCTTCATTAGGCAGGCATCTTCGAGCCAATGTTACCATTTGTATTACCTATAATGCCTGGATGAGTAATACTGGAATACTATGCATCTGATGACAAACAGTTGAGACGGCTTTCTTATTTAGGATCAAGCAGTAAGCAACGAGATGATGCCTATGTCCTAGGTCTATGGACGTCAATCAAGGGGGATAAGGGGGGCATACGCTTGAGACGTAAGATACTCCTACTAGAGTACCTATTGTTTGGAATCTTCAAAACATTCCTTCGTAATCACTATTTCTTCTCCCATCTCTTTAAACAGCTAGCAACTGTGCTTCAAACTGGGTAACTGGGCCTGCGAATATATTTTGCCCCACTCTAGGTTTTGATATATGGGCGCACATGTCCAGGTTCCTATTTTTCTCCTGTAGGAGCTATCCGACTGAAATTCTCACTGGGACCTTTAAGATCTTACACCTCGTGGTTTATACTAGCAATCTCCAATTCTGTACTGATTAGCACCGCTTTCCTGCCAATTCTGTACAAGACTCCCTTGATGCAGTGTAGCTTTTTTAAAGGAGTATTGTTTCTTCTCACACTCATAGAGGACATGGAAGGCTTGTTCTCCTTCCTCTACCACATTATCTGTATTTATCTTCATCATACCTTGCTTCGTGCTGCCGCTCTTTCAGGTCATTGCATCCTGTTACAACTCCTATAGCATGCTTACTCATTACCAATCAAAAGCTTTATTCTATCACAGATTCTATGAACTATTATCTCTGCAAATTCATTCCCATACCAAGAAGTGCTTACTGTCACCTTCTTCCAGCTAGCGCGGTCATGACATGCATTCAACAACTAATAAATCGTAAAGCTCACTATAATAAACATACAGCAAGTAAACAAATAATAAAGTTACATAAAATGTGATGGATGCAAAAAGAAAAGTGTAGTTGAAGGTCGACAAGACCCATTCAAAAGTCGATGCAGAAAATATGTGAACGTAACTTGTATACGAACCTTGAATCATGCTAGATGTCCACTTTTAGATCGCAGATTTGTAAATAACATTTTTTTTATGCTTGAGCTATCACGCAGACCTAAGGCCTAAATACCCCGGGATACCCTGGGACTGTAGAGGGATACAGAAAAAAGGGGGAATGTCACACAGACGGGGAGCTGTGACACACGTTCTGACCTCGTCTTAGAGTTCCGCCGGGTGGTACCTCCACGCTCGACAGTCAGCGTCCCTCTATCGGCTACGGACAATCACAACATAGATAGCCAAGAGAAAAATCTCTTGGGACATGATTCGAACCCACCTCCAGCATGTATTACCATTCCTGCCTTGACATCAGTTTCAACCAACTTCAAAAAACGCATAAAGACCATTGAAAAAATATTTACTCAGTAAAACGACTCATAAATGCATGCGTTGGTCTGCGTATACGTATAGCTACTTCTTAGTGTAGAAAAGTTTGCTTTTGACTGGGTTGCGGGTTTAAAATTCTCAACAACTCGTATTACCTTTCCGTGAATCCACGTCACAACATGCAGAGATGCTTTTAGGATATGCTGAATTCTTATGTGCACCCAATTCGAGTTGATCTAGTCGAATTTACATTTTTAATATCAGTCTATACAGAATGCTAAAATGGATATCTATCATGATTCATCCCGGAATTGCTGCCTGAATGCAGAATCGATGCAGATTTGATCCCTGGGGGCAAGAAATAGTTTATTCAATTTTATAATGACGAAAACCTGTCGCAGTAACTTAATATCCTCATATCCATACGCTGCTTCTCAGCATGAAGTATTTGTGCAGTATGAGTGCTGACTGGTGACTTTTTTTTTCAGGTACCTCGAAGAATATACCCGTAGGCAACACAATAGTTTTACAGAGATCTACATTGTGTTCGAGTCCGTCTACTTCCTCTTCATCATCCACACTAAAAGAAGGTAAATGTTTGGATACCATAGTCTGTCCGTTAGGAACATATTCAACTGTTTCAAAAAGCGAATAATAACTAGGATTTTAAGATTATCCACAACAATATAATTTGAAAAAATATGAGCAACAATGAAACATTGTAAAAGAGCAACGTTTATATTATTCTCTAATTATTTTGGTCACTAAGAAGGTTCTTCCTATATTGTCTCCCTGATGCACATGACTATAAGTATTCCTTCAGATAGCCAATCCTCACTTAAAACAATTGACCCTACAACGAAATTGGTGTGAAATTGTAATTAAAGTATTCATAGCATTGAGGATAGCTTCATATGGATAGCAGGATACACAGGTCTGAAGGGAAGTGAAACATCATGGCAAAGAGAGGAACAAACAAGCGCACCCTTAGTAATGCATGAGGATTAAAGTTAAATGCAGAAAAAAAATAAATATCATGATTTTTGAATCTAAGCATGACAATTTTACTCTAACTATCAAAATAGCTTTGAAAGAGAAAATAGATCTTGAACTGCAATATAACAGCAAATTTCTTGCGGTACAAATAGATGCGCCGCTCAAATCGGCACATATAGAAAAACAAAATAAGTTGAGCAGTGTACGTGATGCTCTGCTGGTTTTAAATAACTATTATTATTTAGATACTCTAAAAATTATATACCATGATAATTTTGAATCTATCCCATGATGGAATAACTCTTTATGGATGAAGCATAAAGCGACATTTTATAGTCCACAAAGAGCTCTGAGATGTATGCTCAAAAAGTCACAAAGAGACGCATGCTGCAATTTAGTTCTAATAATATTTTAGCTACGATTGTTATTTATTTACAAGAAGTCTTACTGATCATCTTTAAAAATGGACCTTTGTTTGAAAAGAATCTACCAGAGCGTAACTGTAACACGAGAAATTTTAATTATTATTATTCACCCTCTCACTTTAACAGAAAGGAATGTAGAATATAGTTGTTTGAATTTTTCATCATCCTCCAGGTATAAAAAAGAAAGTAATTTTGTATAGATCTAGAACCTTGTTGTCTTGAAGAGTATTTAGCACGATACTAGTTTTATCTTTGTTTTGTTTTTTGTAATGACGTTATTTCACTTAACATTGTGAGTTTTTGTTGTTGAGCCAGCAATCTGGATCACGTACAATATGGCCAAACAAATAGTCACTGCAAAAATAAATAAATAAAATAAAGAAAACTTATGTTCATTTTTCTTTCCAGATCTCAAGAATACTTCAACAGATAATGCAGAGGCATCCCGTAGATCTTCATATACGAATTGTACTTTGAGTCCTTCCACAGGATCCTTGTTTTCCGAAGACGGTAAGGTTTAATTGTAAAATGTTTGCATCACTATTCAAATAGCTACCTGACGCTAGAATTTTTCTTTATTGCATGATTATAATGAATAAAGCACAAGGAAAATGTATTTAACGCTCACTGTACTGATTGTGGAAAAATTTTAAGAGGTGGAATTCAAAATATAGACAAAAGCTGTAGATGATCATGAAAAATATGTTAGAAAATGAAAACGATGCTTATCTTACAACTAAAACTATGAAGTAGAAACTGGTTCACAAAATAACATCGACTTTAATTTTATAGATAAACACGTAAGTGTAATTCCTTAGTTTGAGATATGCGACGAACAATTTTATTCACAACTACTTCAAATGATTCAAGGGTTGTATCTTGAAAGCTAAGCTAAGGATCAGAGTCAGATTTCAATTTGATCGAATGAGTGAAATTTTTGTAGTTAGATATTTTAGGACATGTATATTTGAAACTTACATCAACACCTCTTTTTATTTCGGTATTGATTGTCCAAAAATCACCAATTTTGCAATATTTGACTTACTTATTTGACTTTTTATAGAAGGGCATGGTCGCAACAATTCCTACTTCAAATCGATCATAAAATATACTGAATTGTAAAATATATATAATAATGCAAATGTCGGGTTACTGCGCTTACAATAAAAACAAAAGATGAAACAAATGAAAACACTATTATAATGAGGCAATTTGGGCATTTTTTTCCATTTTGAATATTTACGTGGGTATTTTTTTAAGAGCGCATGTGTATTATAAATTTGAAGTAGAACGTTTTGAAACCAAGTACTCATATCAAACATCAAGGTAAAATACAAATATATTATACAGGGTCCGGCACGCTTCAAAGTTCGCGTGTAGACTCTCTCCAACATCGTTCTCTCAGCTTGAGCGACTTCCACGCGAATAACCTCCTTTAACTCGTCCATAGTTCAGGGCTTGTGCTCGTATACACGAGCCTTGAAGTGTCCCCATAGGCATTCCCCCCAGCACTCTCGCCCGAATAGTATTAGCCATTTCAAAAGCACCTGTACTTTATTCCGAAACCTGTATTAAGTAAATTATTATATTTTACGAAGGTTTAAGATTCATATGTTCTAAAATATTAAAATGCAACGCTTATAGACCCCGAAAATGTAGGCCGAAAAACCTCTCTTATGAACCGTAATCCTTTCAATGCATTACGACGCTAATGACTTGGACTATTGTGAACATAACTTCAGTTAATAATATAAAAATCCTTCTACAGACTCATTACTCAGCCAGGTATCCACCTTCAAATTTTTCCACAGCTCAGATCTATTTAGCTAAATTAAAACGTCGCTACACTTCTGTCGGCCGCTTTAGTCACCAAATTACAATCCTTACTTGAATATTAATACCGTCACAGCAGATACAGTACCGACGCTGTTGACATATGCAAATAGTCGCTGGTCCAAAAGTGGCCCAACTTCCGTCGGAATACGGTCGTTTTAGACATGGGCGTCTCGTTGGTAACTTCAATAAGCTAATCGGCAGAGATTTTCATTTTATTAAAAATAAAAAAGTTTTATGTGCGTGAGGTCCCTGAAGTCAGAGTTGGGGGTCTATGGAAAAATATCAAAGTAATTCAGACATCAGAATTACAAATTTTAGCAATTCTCTGAAGAGATGTACATACTAAATATATGATCTTAATTTCTAAACTACATTCATTTGTCCATGGATCCCCAATTCTAGCTTCTAACATTGGGATACATCATTTTGTAGGCCTGTGATGATAGTAGATTGTCGTGTTCCTTAAGCCGGATTTCACTAAGCCAGTGCGCAAAAAAGCACCTGGGTCACAAATTCAACCAACGAGAAGGCATCTTTGAAGTCATGGATCTAATGCATATGGTCGGCTTCTTGTAAAGTGTCTCTCAAACTAGAGAAAAATTATACTGTTTGTGTAGGATTCCAATATTCAATCAAGAAATACGTCATAAATCTTTATCTAACGGGTGATTTTTTAAGAGGTGTAGGATTTGATTAAAAAAAAACACAAAAAATTTGAAAAAACGATTAAACCTTTATTTGAGTCGATAGAACGGTCTATATAATTTAATGTTTAAAGATTATTTCATGTAAATGTTGGCCGCGGCTCCGCTTTAGATGGCCCATGCGCAAGGTCCAATTTTGGCACACTCTCTCCAACATATCGGCCGGTTTCTCACGAATAAATGCTTCAATAGTGGCTTCCAGTGCGTCAGTCGTTGCTGGTTTATCCCTGTAGACATTAGCCTTAACATGGCCCCACAAGAAATAGTCCAACGGCGTTAAATCACACGATCTAGGCGGCCAATTGACGGGCCCCAAACGTGAGATAAACTGTTCACCGAACTCGCCTCTCAATAGCGCCATTGTTTCGTGTGCGGTGTGGCATGTGGCACCGTCTTGTTGAAACCACATGTCAGCCAAGTCCAGCTCTTCCATTTTGGGCAAAAAAAATTTGTTATCATCGCACGGTAGCGCTCGCTATTTACAGTTACGTTCCGGCCATTGTCGTCTTTGAAGAAGTACGGCCCGATGATGCCACACCATAAACCACACCAAACAGTGATTTTTTCGGGATGCATTGGTAGCTCTTGCAATGCTTCTGGCTGGTCTTCACTCCAGATACGGCAATTTTGCTTGTTAACGTACCCATTCAACCAGAAATGAGCTTCGTCGCTGAACACAATTTTTCGATAAAAATGTGGATCTTCCTCCAACTTTGCCAGCGTCCAATCACCAAATTGGAAACGTTGTGGGAGGTCGTGTGGCACTAGCTATATCTTATAAGGTTTTACACCCAAATCCTGTCGCAAAATTTTCCACGTAGTGGAGTAACAGAGGCCCAATTGCTGCGAACGGCGGCGAATCGACATTTCACGGTCATCACTAACACTGGCGGATACAGCCGCAATATTTTCTTCAGTCCTCACTCTACGTCTGCGTGTTGGTGGTTTAATGTCCAATAATGTAAACTGGGTTCGAAATTTAGTCACAAGCTTCCGAATAGCGCCCTCAGTAGGCCGACCAAATTGCCCATAAATTGGAAGCAGTGCTCGATGCACTCTCTTAACCGAGCATGAATTTTGATAGTAAAATTCAATAATTTGCAAGCGTTGATCGTTCGTAAGTCGATTCATGGTTAAATTATAGACCAAACTGAACAAGTTTGACAATGACACAAGACACGATTCACGCGTCATCTGTCAAAAACAGTGTTGCCAAAAAGATACTAGCAAGAAAATCACCCATTACAAAAACCTATTCTGTCATTTGCGCCTGGACACTAAATTGGCAGCAATGATTATAAAATGCAAAAATGAAAAGTATATACACATTTACTCGAAGCTTGCATACAAATCTGATACAATATCTAGATTGATATAACAGCAATTAAATTCGCATGTTATTGAAAATGTTGCTGTACAAAATTCTGAAACTATTTGAGGGCCTAAATAAAATTACAGAAAGCTTATTCTTCAACAAACATCGAGCAAATATTCAATTCACTTCACCACCGTGCGAAAAACCCTGTTCCTTAAACCCCCTCTGCTAACAGGGAGCTATCGCGCCCTCTGTTAGGCAGTAGGACAACTACATCTAGCTTTGCCGCATATCACCGTAGCGCAGCGTGGTTGTGTGATTGTCCTACCGTCTAGTAGAGTGCGCGACATCTTCCTGTTAACAGTAAGTGAGTAAGTTGATTATTTACTCGATGTTTGTTGAAGAAAAATAAGTATTCTGTAATTTTATTTGTCTTCAAAGAATTTATTAAGCAACAACAGTGAGGCACTGTTATTTTTAATAAAATGCTCAGTAGTGCATTATGTCAATCTATTGTATCGGGTTTGATAATAATATAAAAAATAGATTTATGTAGCTGAATCATGTGAAATATGAAGTATTTCTTGATTTAATATGAGAATTAAAATAATCCTTTAATTTTACCCTAGCTTAAAAGACATTTCGCAAGAAATCGACCAAATTTATTAGATTGATTGCTTTAAAAGGCGCCAATTTGGTCAATAGGAAAATCGGGCTTTATACACACGTTTTTCGCACTCAAATCTAAAAAACATGATTTTTTAAAATTTAGTTTTAAGAGAAATTCCAATCGTCAAGATTTTTAGAGGAGCTATCTGAATTTGCGAAAAGAAAATTTTCCCAAAAATGACAGAGAAGTTTATAATTGTTCGGATGATATTAGTAAGAACAATGCATAATGAAAAAAATCGATGTTTGTTTTAATAAAGCTTTCTTTCTCTAGAATGGATCTGGAAAAATATTAGTTTGAATACTTAAAGGCATAGTCTCAGTGTCATTTCTCCTCCTGGATACGCCATTGGAATCAAATTCTTTCAAAGCGCCGATTATTTTAGAAATACACTGATGGCAATAGGCGGATAACGTTTCTTTAGTTCCGGATAAAAATAGTGCGTGTTTGTCAGCTTGGAAAACGTTCTGTTCTAACTAACTAAGGAAAACCTGCAGGATGACGCAGAATAACATGTCAATATCTTGTATGTATACAAAGCAATAATGCCACACGTTCCTAGAAAAATTTCCTTAGGGGAGCTCCTTCATAGGGGTAAGGTCTCCCAGAATCAAATTTTAAATGACACTATAACACAACAAAATTTTGATCCCTTAGTAACTTTTTGGGACCTCGCATAATGGTGCTCATTGAAAACAATTTCAATTAGTCTGCCAGGGACGAACTAGCTCCATCGTAATAAATTTTTTACACTCGGTACAATAACGGCTAAAAAATGTACTCTTTTTTGTCATTGATAAAAAGAACCAATTCTGGAAAAAGTTCTTGTTTCAGTACAGTTCTATTAATTTTAGCACTTGACACTTAAATACTGGCTTAGCCGTTTTGTAAATATATTATTGCTGATAACAGATTCGTAATCAGTGACCCAAGGAACCCGTGGATAAATAGGTATATTTAATTTTTGATTTTTGTGTGACTTTTT